CAGCCAATAAAGCTGTTCAAGATCTTCGAAATGAAAAGAGAAGGCGGTATGGGAGGTTCTTTTCTATCACAGAGCTTCAACTACAGAGAAACCACTGGAAAGTCGAAAGAGCCCCTCTGGCAACCGACATATATTGGAATCATCTTGGTTCTACGAAGTTCTCATTGAAATTGCGTAGGGTGTTTGTAAACACATGCCTGGTGTTGATGCTTTTGTTTTGCAGTTCCCCGCTTGCAATCATCAGTGCCCTTGAGAGCGCATGGAGGATAATCAATGCAGAGGCAATGGATAATGCTCAGATGTGGCTTGTGTGGGTGCAAAGTTCAAGCTGGTTTGCTGCCATAATCTTTCAGTTCCTTCCAAACGTTCTTATCTTTGTCAGCATGTACATCATCATCCCATCCCTTCTGTCTTATCTTTCCAAATTTGAACGACATCTTACTGTGTCTGGCGAACAAAGAGCCTCATTATTAAAAATGGTTTGCTTCTTTCTTGTAAATCTCATTCTCCTCAGAGCACTAGTAGAGTCCTCACTCGAAAGTGCATTACTAAAGATGGGCCAGTGTTATTTGGATGGTCAAGATTGCAAAAGGATCGAGCAGTATATGAGTTCTTCATTTTTGACAAAGACATGCCTCTCTTCTCTTGCCTTTTTAATCACAAGCTCTTTTTTGGGCATATCTTTTGATTTGCTTGCCCCGATACCATGGATAAAGAAACAGTTTCAGAAGTTTCGGAAGAATGACATGATTCAGCTAGTTCCAGAAAGGAGTGAAGGTGGTTACCCCTTAGAAAGTCAAGGCACCGCAGATACTCTGCAAGCCCCCTTGATATCTGAAAGGACGTCACATGTGGTGGTTGGTGAGGTTGAGAATGGGGCTCCACATGTCAATGATATTGATTTCTCTGCGGAAAGCATGTCTGAATTCCCGCCAGTCAGCAGAACATCCCCTGTCCCAAAACAAACATTTGATTTTGCACAATATTATGCTTTCAATCTGACAATATTTGCACTAACCCTGATATACTCCGCGTTTGCCCCCCTTGTGGTCCCGGTTGGTGCTGTTTACTTTGGGTACAGATATGTTGTCGACAAGTACAACTTTCTATTTGTCTACAGGGTCCGAGGTTTCCCTGCTGGTAACGATGGGAGCTTAATGGACAGGGTATTGTGTATCATGAGGTTCTGTGTTGTTTTGTTCCTTGTATCTATGCTGATGTTCTTTTCAGTGAATGGAGACTCCACAAAGCTTCAAGCAATCTTCACACTTGCCTTGCTGGTTGCATACAAACTGTTGCCTTGTGACAACGATGGGTTCGAGCCTGGTTTGTTACAACGCGTACAGACTGTTGATAACATTCTTGATGGACCCGTTGATTATGAGGTGTTCTCACAGCCTGCATTTGAATGGGATTCATCTGGTCAATGAATCATGTGATGATATATATTGTACATATGCTTATATATAATTTTTTTCTGCTATACCATATTCTTCTGCTTTTCTTTTCCTTTTAATTGTTATTTATTCATTTTGGTTAAATGATTATGCTAATGTTAGTCAGTGCAAGCCTTACATAGACTACACGATTATTTACACTGTATTTATCCGTAACCAGTTCATTTTGTTGAAAGTTAAACTAACAACTTTTATGGTTATTTGTAATCTCTGAAAGGTGAAAACCTGCAGTGTTGTTCTTAATTCTTTTTTTCCCATCCAATTTTAACATCTAAAAATCATCTATCGCACTACCATTTGACATCATGTTTTGGGGTAAAGGGTGAAAATGTGAAATTAATGGAAAATGATTATTTATTCATCGAGAACAGTATGGAGTATTTAGTTGGATGAATAAAAATATTAAAGAGTAACTTTGGTATTCGATTTCTTTTGGAAACATAATGGATTTGAATAATAATCAAAAGAACAGCGTACAAACGTTACACTGTTGATTTTTTTGACATATTTATGTTCGACAAAATGATGAACAAATAAAAGAGTCAATTTGCTAAATAGGACTAAAAAGTGGCAAAATTGTACAAATAGGACTAAATTTTTTAAATTCCCTTAATAAGACTATTGATGTGTGTTTGGACAAATATACCTTTTTAACTTGTGAAATGTTTTAATTAATAATAAAATCATAAAAAAATAATAAAAACAGGAAAAAATACTAAAAATCGTAAAAAAAATAATAGAAAATTAATAAAAAAAATTTTAAAAAAATTAAAAAAAATTATTTTTTAAAAAAATTAAAAAAAAAATCGTAAAAAAAACATTACCACGCCTGCCACCCCCCAGCACCACCAGCTCCCATCACCGGAGAAAAATATGCCAACATTTTAAATAATGCCATAATGATGGCACATTCAATGAAAATGTTGGCATATTGAACAGTAATTATGCCACATTTTTGGCATTTTCAGAAAAAGATGGCATTTTTTTATACCAAAAGTGGAAGAAATTTCACCAATCGGAGGTGGTGGTGCTGGGAGGCGGCGGGAGGCGGTGTGAAAGGTATCCATAATTTTTTTCATTTTTTTTATGGGTTTTTACTATTTTTTATTATTTTTTTAAAAAAATTTTAAAAAAAATAAAAGTTAAATTTTTTATTTTATAAATGTTTTATAAATTTTTTATAATATTTTTACGTTTTTAAATATTTTTCACGTTTTTTATGATTTTATTATGAATTAAAGCATTTCATTATGAATTAATACTCTTAGGGTTTAATACTCCTATTTAGGGAATTTAAAAAGTAGTAGTCCTATTTGTGCTTTTTAGGAACTCATTAGTCCTATATTTAGGACAATTTCCGCAAATAAAATACATCAATTTTCATAAGGTGAAGTGAAATTCAGGATAAAAATACGGTTTCCAGGAACATATTTATTAAATAATACCACGTATTAATGCAATAAAAGTATTACAGATATGTAATATGTTCATGATGAAGTTTGGACAATTAGATCATGAGTAACGCAAGAATTGAGGTGTGAAATACGTAGTAAGTTATTGTTGATGGGGCTTTAAACACAATGCAATGGCGAATAGTTGCAGTCTCCATTGCGGTCGCCTACACTTTGTGGTTTGTGCTTAAGTTTCCATCTTCCTTATCCTGAATTTATTGCAAAGGAGAAGCCTCATCAAGGAAGCCGTTTTCTTGAGAAGAGTACTCCAGTCACACAAACGAGTGTTTTTTACTTGAAAAGTTGATTCAGGTGTATGAAAAATGACAGTTTGATCACTCTTAGTGTTTTTAATAAGTGAAAAGTTGTTTAGTAAATAGTTGTTCGGCACTAGCGTTTTTGGACGGAAAAGTTGAAATGGAAACGCTGCAATATGAAAGTTTTGGATTAACATTTTTAAATTTAGCCTTTTCTACAAAGATTTTAAAGGATTTTAATGGATTGTAGACATCTTCTTATAACCTGTAAATTTATTTCGCTAGTCAAATCTGCCGACTAAGGATGTTTTTACTTGGACTGGTCTGGTCTGGTCTGGTCTGAACTGGTCTGGCTTCTTTGTATTTTTGTAACTACCCAAGTCTGGTCTGGTCTGATATGATCTGGGACAAATTACAGTCCAAATAAAAACATCCTAAATCCTGTATAGATAACTCACTAACATAATCCACTATCTGCTATCCGTTAACCGCTAAATGCCAAACACGCTCGATATTACTCAAATACTTTGTTCTAATTTTATTTAGGGTCATCACATGGACACCCAAACTCATTCCGACTGAACTAACCAATTGAGCAATTTTTTTGATAGTTTGAGTGTTCGATTAATCAATCTTACATCACGCGGAGTTAATTGACTTTTTCTATATAGTGTGATGATTTATTTGACAATTCTTCTCAAAACCACAGGCAAAAAATGCAAAATAAGCATTACCCAAGATGGAGGGGGTAAGGGGTGGTAATCCTGTTTGACCTACAAACAAAATCATGCAAGATAATGTTTTCATTTGAACTGTTTAATTCAAATCAACTAGAAAGTGAGTAAAAATGTGGTAATTATGACATTTACTATCATTTTTTATTGAAAAAGTACTTCGTAGTTTATTTTGAGATATTGGAAAGCGAGAAGTTGCTTTGGATATAGATGATACTATCTATATTAGTACTCTCGTGCTTCGTATCGATCAGGTTACTTCAAGTGAGAATAATAAGGTTTATTTGGATAAAGATTAAACTTGATAAACATATTAAAATTACTTTAAGAGGAACTTAATTTATGATTATTTATTTATATGTTATCCAAGCTTGGGTTGTTTAATATCTTTTGTGATCAAAGCTGTATAGAGTTTTTCTAAAAATCTAATTTCTGAACAAAAAGTATATAATTCCTTCTCCATTTTGATCAATTAAACCTTCATTAAACTTTCATCACTTACACTCATGTGCACCATGTCCAAATAGACCTTAAATCGTAATACTAATCCACGATTATATGATCGACTGTCGAGGACCTTGTTTCAATGAGAGAAGTAATACTTTTTCGAGAAGTATGACAAACTTCTTTACTATGACAAAATACAAATATCCTAATAATTAAGGGGTGTTAAATTTTTCTAATGTCAAACAATTGAGGGACTACAAATGAAATAAAAAAACTTTTAGTGAACCATTATATTTTTCCTTGATCATTATTCAATATAATGGATTATGGGCAAAAAGAAGGGAGTGGAACAAACCAAATACCCAATTCTAGTTGATGCTAGATTCTCCCTATATATCATGATGCACATGCAATATTGAGTGGTTCCACACATGCTAGAAGGAATCGGTTTGGGTCCCAAAACTAATTCAATAGAGTGTCCTAAGAGAATTGAAAGACAAAGTTCAGGTCAACACAAGCCCTACAATTGTTCTCTACCTAACAATTGGCATTTACACTTCTCACAGCCACTACAACTCATAACTAATAATCTCTTCATACTCACTACATTCTCTATGTCTTAGTTAGATTTGTGGTTCACATTTCTGCATGTAGTGATAGCACACTGTCCATTTACCATCTGGTGTGGTAGAACTATAAATAAGTATATGTTCATTTAATTGTCAAATCCAAATGCTTCAGTACTTATGAAAAGGGAATACCAATATATAATAATAGAAAGCTATATATACTATATGATCAAACAATATAATAATCATGCTTAACCATGAAAGTAATGAGTTCCCGCTCTGCCCTAAACCGCGGCGGCTCGTCTCAGCCCACCCCGAGTTCCTCCAACCCCTAAGTTGTAGCAAACACAGGTACGTACATAATTCTTCACTACATCGATCCTTTGTGACTATTCCTGGTTTTAATAGTCCCGGGAGTACAAATGCATTTTTTAGTCTGGTTGCTATTTGAGATCGGTAAATTTCCGTGAAGCACGAAAGCTCTCGAGTGATCGTGTTTCTATTTCGGAAACTCAATGGTAAATCTTGAATAAGCGCGTTTCCGTTTCGGGAATTTTGGGGAAACTCTTTAGAAAATCCGGAAACACTTGTGTTTCTATTATAATAGGTTTCACCGTGTTTGACATGTTTGCGTGCAATATAGTTCCATTTGTTGGAATATTTTATTATAATTGGGTTTTATTGTATGTGGTCAATATTATCTAAGCCCAAAAGACTATTAAGATAAATTGTATGGGCCAAATAAATGGGCAGAGGCCCGTGTTGCTTAATTGTTAGGGTTTAATGGGAGCCCTAGCTAGACCAACACACTCCATAAATAGGCTATGGTCCCCAATACGTTGAACCACACCTCGGAAGAGAGACTAAGGCTTCAAGACGGTTCAATTGAGGAAGATCCAAAGGCCATCTACCTCGTCCCATTCCTCCTGCGTTGTTGCTATGGATCGAGGAAGTATTATTATTATACTCTATTATTCAATATGATGAAGATGGTGGAAATATTGAACAATCCATTCGATTTGTTCTTGTATTGCTTCCGTTATATGTAAAAGTATTTCCAACACCACTTTCTTTTTCTCTGTACAATTTAGACATGTTTCTTTGAACTGCTAGTAATTTAATCCTGAATCCACCCAAAATTGTAAAATTTGAATGAAAATACAATTGAATCTTTATCATGTGTTGTGTTTTTATTTGACATTAGTAAGCCAAACAAGCACTTAAGCACCATTATTTTATTTTTAATCTGTAATGCTTACACACTTACATGGTGCAGTGTTTGCAAATTGGTCAGTGAAATGAACATTATTGATGGGGGCAGAAGTGAAGTTCTCAGCATAATTGGTGACCACCAAAAGGTCAGTCTAAAATCCTAATATTACTGTCAACTCCAGGTTCTCTATCTTAGCTCTCAGCCAAAAGTCTTAGATGAACTCGGTCCCAAATTAAAGTTTTACTAAATTAATAATCATAAAATACATATTCAATGGTGAAGATTGAAATATCGTATAAACCGACCAGAGTTTCGAAAGCTTTATATTGTAAGGCGCAAATTAAAATTTCATCTTTTTATAGTGTAAATATTTCTACACATATACTCCGTATATTATATACACCACAAAAAATGTGGGGTGCCTTTGACTTGCCTCCTTTATCCCCACTAGTGTGTATGTGTCATCACTTGAATTGGGTGGGATGACCGCATTAGGCTTCTCGATCAATACTCCCTAAATCAATTTATTACACTCCAATTTGGAGTTCACGGCTTCATAGAAATTTTAATTATTAAAATTAAGGAAAAATCTTAATTTTTGTCCCCGAAATAATCACCATATTAAAATGTCAGACACGTGTTCCCCCAATTTGTAAATGTCACCCATCAATTGTGCAAATTGATGTAAATGTGATCCTTTGAGGGTGAAATGTACAATGTGGACGAGGAGTACATTTCATCCTTCAAAGGACAACAATTACAACAATTTGGACAATTGAGAGGTGACATGTACAATCTCAGAAATATGGGTCTGACATTTCAATATGATGACTATTCGGGAGACTAAAAGTACGATTTTCCCTAAAATTAATTTAATAATCTGAGTGGATAAATGGATAATTTATTTAAATCCTTAGTAAACCTTAAAAGCCACAAATTACAATTCAATATGAGCTGTAGAAAGTACTACATCAAAACCTCTAGTATATAATATGCCGGTATACATGTCCTATCACTTGAAATGCCACTGGCTTAGTCAAGACCCAAATTAGACTATACGGAGTATAATGTATGTTGGTACAAAGTCATTTTAGAAAAAATTTGATATAGACTTTTTACGCTAACATTTAAATGCTTTAGTATTTTTTAAAAACTTGGGTCACCCACACATGGATGGGTCATAAGAGCATTTTCAATGTAAAAATGTGAGTTATACATATAAATTGATCAATGATGTACTTGTATCTCTTCTTATTTAAATGATTTTCTACTTTTCAATATGTTTTTCATGAGATTATCATGCACACCAACTAAATATAAACATTGTTGTGTTGATATTGTTTACAAAAAGCAACAAAAAATATAGAAACCCATGAAAATAAACAAAGAAAATTTCATTGATGAAATTCGATGTGTGTATCTCATCACATATTCACTACGTGTGCATCTTGACATCAGAGATGCTCTAAATCAGATATTCAGATGTCAAGCCGTCAAATAACCACGGGTCCCACCGTTGTGGATGTGAGACCCATCACATACCAGAGTGCCAAAGAGTTTAGATAATTAAGTGTGACTTATAATGTTATTATGTGTGGTTGCTCATATGAACTTGTTGAAATGGTGTAGATAAGAGATGTCACAGATTCAACAACGTTGTGTAGTCGATGCTCATCATCATCGTGTTACTCCGGCTCACCACCCGGCCGGACAGATAACCCATTGATTCATGATGTGCAATTTGTTCATAATCAAATGCAATTTTTTTCTCCATTAACTCGAACTAATAAGCTTGGCTTCACCTCCACCTCCCCTGCCTAAGCTCTCTGGATCAGTGTAATTTAGGCTTAGCATTGTCCAAAAAGTGTTGTGATGTAATACTATGATAATTTTAAAAGTTGGGGTCAGACAAAATTTTGTAAACATGTAAATGTTACAATTATATCATTATAGTTATTGTCATCACTATTTTCTGGCTAAGCATACACAATAATTTGTTTAAATGTGGGTAAATATCATTTCTCTAAATAGAATTCAAGAATGGATGTGGCCACTCAATTGTTTCATAATGTATTATTTGGACTAATTAAATTCAAGGCATGATAAACAATCATGTTCTAACTGGTTTTAGCATAAAGGGCAATTTTGGATATGCACTTAGCTTGAGGCTTAAAAAGTTTGAGTTGTTTAAATAAAACTTCTAATCCAAAAAGTGGCTAAAGAGGTGATGCATGAAACTACAAGAGAAAAAGTTCCAAAGGAAAAGATAAGGAAATGCCTCTCCGTCCAAGAGACGATTTAAGTTAAGCTACAAGGAAAGAGGCTCTTCAACAATTAGATTGAGGGGCAGTTTACTTTTATTTTCATCAAGTCCTGTATAGATTAAGCAGGGGCGTCTTTAGCATATTAGAGGCCCTAGGTAGAAAATTATTTACTATGCACAAATCATATTTAAGAATGATATGTGTACATGTATTTATAGATACTAAAAAATCGCACACAAATCGATTAACATAAAAAACTAATAGTTTTAAATAAAACGAGAAAATTTAAAAAATAACTACTTCATCCCTCCATGAATGATCTTAAAAAAATTGATATTGCCCCAACATAACACCCTTTTTTTTTGGCAAAGAATTTGTAGTTCGCAACATTTTTGAACACTTTCTTACACATTTCTATCTCTTTATTTTGTACAACTCTCCATCATAGAATACTCACTTTCTTAGTTTTCATGCATGACACACTTTGTACAAGTTGTTTTATTGAGTTATCATTCAATTCAAAAAATACCAATATACCAATATTAACCCATAATTTTACACGTTCACTTCAATCACTTGTATTTAAAATTTTGAAATATACCCAAGCCCAAAGAAATGAAAAGCCAGGGTGTTGAATTCAATCACTTATCACGATGCATGGCATTCTCGAATCTCGAAACTTTATGACCCTTATCGAATATCTAGCATTATGTATTTTGTATTCTTCAACCCTGTATTTTAGGCCCTCATTCTATTTGTGTATTTTATTGAATAAAATCTAAAGACATTCAATCCAATCACAAAAAATAATACGTAGTAATAGATTAAGAGGAGAGAAGTCAAAGATGAGAGAATTAGAGTCACACAGGTCGAGTGACCAGTTAGGACTTTTCAATTTCAGAATTGCTACAATTGTGATTTGTGAATGGCCGAATTGCAGCTTTACAAGTTCCTCAGCGTCTGGGTGCATACGTGGACCATGAAGACTATTTTCTTATTCCGTGTTATATATACTTTTTACACATGATACTAATAATTTAGTTTTTGGAGGCCAAACTGGCCTCAAAGACGCCACTGGGATTAAGAAATCTATTTGTATTAAGATGTTTGTCTAAAATCTAAATTAAGTAACATTAGGATAACATTTTTTTTATTATGGGTGCTCAATGTATAGCGTGAATGATATTAAGTTACCACTTTACCCTTCTATCTATACCAAGTGACAAACATACATGTCTGTTTACTTTATCTGTTCCGAAAGGTATTGTGATTACATCAAATTTGTTACAACAATAATAGTTTACCGAACAAATGAGTTCTCAAAATATAACAATATAAATTCAAAAATAAGTGACTCAAATTTATTTGTGGGTATCTGACATCAACGTTTAGGTCATCCCTCAGAAAAACTTATGTAATTGTTATTGCCCATGAAATTCCCTAAAAAACATTTGTCTTTACCTTGTGAAATTTGTCATAAAGCCAAAAATATAGAGCTCCATTTCTTACCAGTACTAATAAAACCACTCGCCTATTTGAACTTATTCATTGTGAAGCTTGAGGAACCTACCGTACTCCTTGTGGTGCTAGGAGTTTCTTAACAATTGTGGATGATTTTTCCAACCTGTTTGAGTTTATTTATGGATCGATAAATGTAAAGTTTACCATATGTTTATATTTTTCATAGAAATGATTAAGTGACAATTTATTGGCACAATTTCTTCTGTGAGAAGTGATAACACCATAATGGTGCAGAATAAATTGTTTGAACACTTATTTCAAATTTCGTGTGTAGGAACCCGCGATGAAATGATCGGGTTTAGTAAAAACACCATCACATTCTCAATGTGAAAGGGCTTTATGTTTCCTAGATCACTTGCCCATCTCATTTTGGATGAAATTCGTTCTGACTTCTGTACATCTTATTAACCGAACGCCTTCTATCTTACTGCACCAAAAATCCCCATTTGAATTCTTATACGGTACATTACTTGACTATAAAATACTCCGCGTCTTCGATTGCCTTTGTTATGCTTAACATAAAAAAATATAAAGTTGTAAAGACACGAGGTTCCATCCTAAAAGGTCAACCTGATAGGAGGAGTAACACATGTCTTAATATAGCATTTTATTCTTTCACAAATTTCCGGTGTGAGAATTTAACAAAAAGCATATCCTTGTACAACAAAAAATATAAAGAATAAAGATATTAAATTTATGAATCCAAGCCTTCTCAATTTAATACTCCGTATATTGCTATTGCCTAGGAATCCTAGCATATGATATGAAATAATAATTGTGGAATAATGGCTCACCCTCATAGGATGTCCTGATGATGTATTTATAACAGGAGAAGAATAGTTAATTACAAATGTGTCCTGTACTATACATTATTACACCCCCTCAATCTGTGCAGGAGAAACAACGCGCAGATTGGCACGTAAGAACTTAAAACACTGACTAGATAAGTTTTTAGTAAAAATATCAGCTAACTGTAATGGAGTAGGGACATATTTGACGACAAGATCTCCATGAGCAACACGTTCTCTAACAAAATGGTAATCAATCTTGATGTGCTTGATGCGGTCATGCTGAATGGGATTAACTGCAAGATACGATGCAGACACATTATCGCAGCGTAGTTTGACCGGGTGTGAGATATATAGTAATGCCCATATCAGCAAGTAGAGAGCGAATGAAGATGGTGTCCTGGACTGTGTAAGCAATGGCACGGTATTCAGCTTCAGTTGATGACTTGGATACAGTGGGCTGTTTCTTGGACCTCCAAGAGATTAAATTGCTTCCCAAAAATATGGCTTACCCTGTCGTAGATCGACTACTATCTGGACAACCAGCCCAATCCGCATCAGAATAAGCAACAATAAGAGAGATATCAGGATTGGACTAAAGCCATAATCCATGATCCACAGTGCCCTGCAAATATCTGTAAATACGCTTCACGGCCAAAAGATGAGTAGTACGTGGGGCATGCATAAATTGAGAAACCAAGTGCACAGCATAAGTAATATCAGGTCTAGTTAAAACCAAATACTGTAATGCACCTACCATACTACGATACTCAGTAGCATCAGTGAGTAGTTCTCCATCTGTCAGAGAAAGAGTGGTGCGTGATGGCAGCGGAGTACGAACAGGTTTGGCAGTATGAAGATGAAAACAACGCAATAAATCAGAGATATATTTATGCTGAGAAATAAATAAACCTTTAGCAGTTCGCCGAGTCTGAAGACCTAAGAAAAATGTATATCCCCTAAATCCTTCATAGCAAATTGAGATGACCTACATCCAAACACTCTCATATGACCTACTGAGGGTGTTTTCTTTCTCCAAGCTTCAAATGGTGTACAATTTAGGACTGCTTTAGTTGGACAAACATTAAGAATGTATACAGCTGTGGATACAGCTTCACCCCAGAACTTGGTTGGCATATTTTTTGCTTTGAGCATACTCCTTGCCATCTCTACAACTGTCTTATTCTTCCTCTCAGCTACCCCATTTTGCTCAGGGGTGTAGGGTGCTGTAAATTCTCTTCTTATGCCATTCTCATCACAGAATGGAGTAAAAGCATTGGAACTGAATTCACCACCTCTATCAGTTATAAGTGCTTTAACTGATTTCCCAGTCTGATTCTCAACTAAGCCTTTAAACTTCTTAAAGTTTTCAAGTGCTTCAGACTTGGTCTTTGGGAAATAGACCCAAGACATTCTAGTAAAATCATCAGTAATCATTAGAAAATACATGCTACCTCCTAATGACTCAGTTTCCATTGGACCACAAAGATCAGCATGGAGCAGTTCTAGGCAGTCACTAGCTCTCCATGAACCTCCTGGGGGAAAGAGCCTCTAGATTGCTTCCCATATATACATCCTTCACATAGTTCCAGCTTGCCAATAATAGGTAGGCCTCTAACAAAACCTCTAGCACTCAGTAATTGCAGATTAGTAATGTTAAGATGACCATACCTTAGATGCCACAGTTTGGCATTTTCTTCTCCCTTGACCACCAAAGCTTTTCCATAAGTTGAGGTCAGATCCATGGGAAACAATTTGTTCCTTCCCATTTTAGCCTTTAGCAAGACTTCATTTGTGTTGCCATCCTTGATTATGCATACTCCATCCGCAAAGGAGACTGAATAGCCTCCTGACACTAGTTGCCCGACACTAAGCAGATTATGAGCAAGGTGTGGGACATATTGTACATTGGACAAAGATTTCCTCCTTCCTTGTTCTGTCTGCACTGAGATTACTCCCAAACCTGCTACTTCAAGCTGCTTACCATCTCCTAATCTGACAACACCCTTCTTAGTGTCATCAATATGCTGAAACATACTTTTGGATCCTATCATGTGATTTGAGCAACCGCTATCAATGTACCACACTATACCTCCAACATGATCTGAATTATGATGAGCAATAAACAGCTGTACTTGCTCAGCATAATTAGACCTATGATATGCAGTTCTTGGAGCCAGGTCTGGATTCTTTCTTCAACATTCAGCTTCTTTATGCCCATTCTTGTTACAATAGTAACACTTAATGGGAGGTTTTGGACTGGATTGTCTTCCTCCATAGCTAGAGGATCCTCTTCCTCTGCCTCTTCCACCATGACCACCTCTAAAACCTCCTCTTCCTCTTCCTCTTCCCTGCTTGGGAACTGAAAGGCTTGACCATTAGGTGCATCATTTTGGGCCTGAAAGTCT